AAAGTAAGTTGATCCATAATCAACTATACTGTAGATCATCATAATCAAAAATGGATATGATGTTGTTTAATATATCTAGATCATTATCCTAGCATATGTATTAATAGGCAAATTAATGTCCTAGTGGCGGTAGTATGTTTACGTACATGTAGATGGCCGTTCTGATTAGCAATGATAACAACTGCAGTCAGACATTGAAAAGCAGAGAAGTTTGACTATACTACTCCTTGCATGGCTGGCTATTGAAAAGCTTTGTTTCAGCTAAATTCGTCTAAGTCTGTCTCTCGATACTGCAGAACCAGGTTTATACTTGCTCTGGGCTTGTTTTCAAGATTTGGAAATCTTTGGAGGCCAGCAAGTTAAAATAAATAGTCGCATTCTTGAAACATTGGTTCCTGCTTCAAATTTCCAGAGGGGTTTTTGATTTGGCAATTTCAATTTGAGGGACAAAGAGACCTCCAGCCCAATAAATTTTTCATGATTAAAAGTGTGGCAAGAGCGTTCTCAGTAGTTCATTATGTGCTGCTTGCTGGCTTTAATAGTGTTACTCTAGCCTGTTATAGCTTTGAAAGAATACCTTGGTTATTTCAAATGGGTTCCTGCAAGAGACTGTATTTTTCCCTTGTGGATCTCTTGCAATCAACAGTAGTTTTACAGACCTCATCCTTTTGAATGAAGGGCACCTAGTTAAGGGTAAATTACCCTCCTGTAATTCTTCCCATTTAATCTTTTGCAAATGCCCATAATGAAAGCACTACATTCCACCCACTGGCCCCGTTTCCTGTTGTAGAGGGACAGATAAAGATGAGCCTTTCTTTCTGTCCCCTGTTGCTATGGACCCAGCAATCGAGCAGCTCCATGCTGGGCTAACAAAATGAATGAATACAATTAGTGCTCAAGGAAAGTTGGTTTGCTCTGTTTTAAGAGTATCTATAGACAATCATGTATGCACAGTTGCAGATATTGCATTGTGGTCATTTTACAGTGGAAACTGAAATATCCACGCTCATGATACCTTCAGATGAGCTTATTCATTAATTCCATAGTACCTATAACTAGGAGTCTGCTATTCCTCTCTATCAATGAATCCTATCTGTTTCCTAATGTTTTGTATAAGAAACTCCTAATTAACAGTTTAAAAGTACATCATTTTAATAAGCATGCATATGTGTAAGGGGATATGATGAGTTTGAGTTATAAAATGTTTGCAGGATGTGTAAAATGTGCTCACGGCTTTTAATTATAGCAATAAATAGCCGGTGCCCATTTGCCAATATGTGACTTTGTCCCACGTACAGCACTCTGCACTTGCCCCGGAGATATCTAAATCCCTGCTAAGGCAGCAGTCTTATGTTATGGTAGTATAACTGTAGTAGAAAAGGAAAGACACTAAAAGTTAATGGGAAAAAATCTACATCTAACAGGAAGCAAGGAGATGAATTCTCTCATTGTGTGTTCGGTGAAATACACTTTCTTTAATTAAGTGCAGTTTTAAGGTGATTCGAATGATGAAGGTTAA